AGACGAGTTAGATCCTTGGAGGATATATATGAAACCTACAACTTGGCCATACTTGAACCTGAAAGCTTTGAAGCAGCATCAAAGCAACAAGTATGGGTCAAGGCTATGGAAGAAGAGATAAAAATGATTGAGAAAAATAACACGTGGGATCTAGTAGACTATCCAAAAGACAAAGATATCATCGGGGTAAAATGGGTTTACAAGACAAAGCTCAATCCAGACGGCACCATACAAAAGCACAAGGCAAGGTTGGTAGCTAAGGGCTATTCACAACAACCTAGAGTCGACTACAACGAGACATTTTCCCCAGTAGCACGCCTAGATACAATTAGAGCTCTAATAGCTCTTGCGGCAGAAAAAGGCTGGAATATCTACCAGTTAGATGTCAAGTCTGCTTTTCTCAATGGAGTACTACAAGAAGAGATCTATGTAGAGCAACCACAAGGTTTCATAACCAAGGGCAATGAAGACAAAGTACTAAGGCTTAGAAAAGCTTTATATGGTTTGAAGCAAGCTCCTTGAGCATGGTACAGCAGAATAAATCAATACTTCACTGATCATGGATTCAAGAAGAGTAAAAGTGAACCAACACTATACATCAAGACCCAAGGTCAGTATGACACACTCATCATCTCCTTGTATGTAGATGATCTTATCTACATAAGGAACAATATGAAGATGATAACAGAATTCAAAGAAGACATGATGAAGACATTTGAAATGACGGACCTTGGCTTGATGAACTACTTCCTTGGTATTGAGGTAAGTCAAAAGAAGAAAGGGATATTCATTTGTCAAAAGAAATACACTAAAGCTCTCTTGAAGAAGTTCAAGATGAGTGGTTGCAAGACTGTCACTACTCCGCTTGTGACAAAGGAGAAGCTACAAAAAGATGATGGAGCACCAGATGCTTATGCATCTCGCTATAGAAGTTTGATTGGAAGCTTACTATATTTAACAGCCACACGACCAGACATAATGTATGTTATAAGCCTTTTATCAAGGTTTATGCAAAAACCAAGCCAAATTCACTTTGGAGCAGCTAAAAGAATTCTAAGATACCTATAAGGCACGAAGGAGTTTGGTATTTGGTACAAAACAATGACCAACTCAAGTTTGCTCGGATACACCGACAGTGATTGGGCAGGATCGGTAGATGACATGAAGAGCACCTCTGGTTATGCCTTTTCACTTGGATCAGGAATATTTTGTTGGGCATAAAAAAGCAATAGTTGCACAATCAACCACAGAGGCAGAATATGTTGCAGCGGCTGAAGCTACAAGTCAAGCAATTTGACTACGAAGAACACTTGCAGAAATGGGAGAACAACAAGATGGGCCTACTACAATCTACTGCGACAATAAATCAACAATAACAATGACAAAAAATCCAGTACATCATAACAGGACAAAACACATTGCAATTAAATATCACTTCATCAGAGAAGCAAAAACAACTAAAGAAATCAAGATGGAGTATTGTAAGACCGAAGAGCAAGTTGCTGACATATTCACAAAGGCACTGCCGAGAGCAAGATTCGAAAAGTTTCGCACTATGATAGGAGTTAGAGAAATTTGTATTAAGGAAGAGTGTTAAAATATGATACAAACTTCTAGAATAATCTAGATTCTTATAGAAAAATACATAAGTATGCTAGTAACTACTAGATACAAATTCTAGAATCATGTAAAAAATTACATATAGATAGAAAACTCTAGAAATAGATATCTCTAGAATTTTCTACATAAAACATGAATGTGGTGTTGAGGCCTATAAATAGGCCATGTGCCTAACATTTGTATACTAAGCAACTAGTAAGTCATTTCTACTACTCAAATCTATTCCAACTATTCCTCTAAACTAGTTTTCCTCTCAACTAAGTCTATCATTATAAATTTGTCTCTTCATTCCTTCTACTAATAAAATAAGTTTTTACTATTTGATAATTCATAAACTAACAATACGAAATTTATTGTCAAATCATTATCTTAGTGCCCTGAATATTTTCTCTCTTGTCTTTATTCGTTTTAGATAATAATAAATTTTTTTGTAATGAATAATTCTATCGAAGACTAAGTTTTGGTTGTTAACTTGTTATAGATATCAATTGGTAGAAGTGAATCCTTAATGTAACTTATTTCTTTGAAGACACAAAAATACTCATGTGGGAAGGTTTTTATCTTAGAAAAAGTCTTCCATATGTTGAATTTTATTGTTTATAAGTGCCTTTAATAAATAATTACACTGAAAGAGACCTCCGCACCATGCAATTTAGAAATAAAAATGCTTTATTTGGTTGATGGTGTTCCGAATGAGACAAAAGTGAGGGCGTTTATGGTTATTATTAATATTGCAGCTGAAAGAAAAGTTACTCTTAAAGTTTGAAATGTTAACAAACATTTCCTTCACGTTTATCATATGCAAATGTTACATATTTATGCCTTTGAACAGAGTAATTTGGGCGGCTTTTAGTAACCATGCTGAAAGTGCCAAGATATTTCGGCGAACTTCACTAGTAAAACGTGGGCTTCTAGGAAATAGCACAAATCATCACGTCTTACACTTGTTTTGTGGAACTTATGGTGTTTATGTTCCCCTTGACATTTTTTATTCTTAAAGGTCCCTCTTATTTTAGAACCAAAATCATGTTAACAATTTTCTTTAAAATTCCCTTTTGAAATACTACTACTAATTTATTCAATATCAATTGTTTTAAAATTAAATTTAACAACCCTGAGGTTTGAGTGATCTTAATTAACTTTATTAAGTGTGTGTCTGGATCCGCGTTCAAAAATCACGTTAACGCAAAAATAAAAAAATTTTACTTCTTATTTTCACGTTTTTTATGTGAATTAAGTGTGGCGGACGTGAAACCAAACACACCATAAATTTTCAAAATTTAATGGATTGAGACACCAACATAGTTGATAATGACTTATTTATCACTTTAGGTATATATCATTCTCGATATGACCTTTACAGCGATGAAGGACCCAATTAATCAAGTTCCATACAAAGATTAATTGAAGTAGTATCATCATTGGTCGTATGAAGTTTCATTTTATGGGTCTTATACACAATTTTAGAATATATATAAAGATGTTGAGGTTGCATCAACTAACATGTATATAGTGTTACACGTTGAAGCAGTTTGAAAAACAGCTTATAGGTGTATCTAATTAAAAGGGTAAAGGGTGGGTAGGGGACTCGACATGTAACCGACTAACCCGGTTGGGGATGCTTATTTTTCTTCAAGTATTAGTCTTTGCATGTTTTGGTGATAGAAAAGGGAGTTACAATTTCAACTTGTTCTTGAGGAAGAATAATTAAGCTGAATATATATGTTGAGAAATTTTCGCAACACGCTCTCTGATACATTTTTTTTAATTGGTTCAAATTTATTTAAAAATATATATAATTTAGTAGCTCTCACAGACTCACCCTGTATAGTGGTTCCCATTCTAGATTTTGTAATTTTTAACAAATTTTAACTACTTATTCTGTTAAAAAAAATGCATATTACTGGTGCTCTTGAAATATATATTCTCTTTTACATAATTAGTTAAGTTTTATGTATAAACGATGGTAAGTTCCCCGGATAAATTATTATAATATTCCTTCTCATAATTATATTTTAAAAATACTGATATTCGGATTCATACTTGTACAAGTAGTAATTTTAATCTTGATCATTATATTCATTGCCTAACTATATACTCATTCTCGCATCTGTTACATGCACTTTCTTTATGTGCAAAGTTATGGCAAAAAAATATATATAAAGTTTGGAATGAAATTAATATAAAATATTTAATTTAATATAATGTATCAAAAAGAATTTATCAAGTACAAAGATCATTGATCAAAATTTTATAATTAAATATTTATAACATTTTACTAACAATACATATATATATATATCATTTAACGTAGTTCTTTTTTAAAAAAAAATAGTAAATATTTTGTCTCAAACTCGTTTCCATTAAATTATTATTATTTATCAAATATTGTGAATATTTTTTAAGAAATATCTATAACTTTTTGTTTACAATTATCATTCTTAAGTGTGTGTTTGATGTAAGAGGACTTGATGTAATGAGGGGAGAGAAGAGAGTGGAAGTTGAGTTTTTGAATATGTTTGGTGTAAGGGGTTGTGTGGAAGTAAACAGAATATTGGATGGAATTTACATGCGTTTTCATACCCCTCAAATATTATAGGATTAGAGGGGAGGTTGAATTTTTACTTTCCTATATCCTCCTACTGTAGTCAAATTTATAATATTTAAAAGAATAATTACGTGATTTAGTTAATAATATTAATTTTAAATTTTTTAATCAAATATAAATCAATTAAATAATTTATTTTCTCTTCACTTCTCTTCTCTCTTACCAAATAATTCCAACTTTTACTTTATTTTCTATATTTCTTTCTTTATTACCAAGCACATCATAGGCACATTAAGAGAAAAAGGCAAATAAAAGATATGTTTGAAAACAAGTTAGCTTTACCTTATATATTTATAGGAATTTCAGGATGACAACCCGACTCAAATTTAAAACGGTGTATAGTATCTCAAACTCTTTCTATCCTATGTGAATCTTAGGAGTTCTAACTTAATCTTTTAACATAACAGAAATATTACACTTTTTTATATGTTTTAATCATACAACAAATGATAGCTCTACTACTAAATTTACCTAAATGGTTTGAGTAGTAAAGTGAAGAAAATTGGCATGGAAGGAGATCCAAAAATAAAAAAGTTAAGCATAGTGAATTAGGCAGAAATAAAAAAGAAAAGGAAAGCCCAAACAACGAAAATAACTTGCTCTCTTCCAATGTAGGAGAAGCGGAGTCCTGGAGTGCACGTGTCCACCCCACGCCCCATCGCAAGCCACGTCACGCACTCACCCCAATATCTCTTTGACTCCCTTCTCCAAGAAAAAAAATTGCAAACGCCACACCACAATACTCCTTTCCTTTCCCCTATAAAAACCCCTCCAGCCTCACTCTCTTCAGAGCCAAGAAACGAAGCACACATACACACACACACACACACTCACTCACTCACTCACACACCCCAAAATGCCTTCCTCTTCGACCACCATAGTCTCCAAATGCGTCGTCCACCCCGACCAAAAGTCCGACCTTAAACCCCTCAAACTCTCGGTTTCTGATCTTCCAATGTTGTCCTGTCACTACATCCAAAAGGGCGTGTTACTCACCGCCCCACCCTCTTCCTTCGAAGACCTCATTCTCTCTCTTAAAACCTCTCTCTCCGCCGCACTCTCCCACTTCCCCGCCCTCGCCGGCCGTCTCTCCACCGACGCCCAAGGCTACGTTCACATACTCTGCAACGACGCCGGCGCCGACTTCATCCACGCCAAGGCCAAACACTTGACGCTAAACGCCGTCGTTTCGCCCTCGCTCCACGACGTCCACCCCTGCTTCAAGGAGTTCTTCGCCTACGACATGACCATCTCCTACGCCGGCCACCGCACTCCCCTCGCCGCCGTCCAGGTCACCGAGCTCGCCGACGCCCTCTTCATCGGCTGCACCGTCAACCACGCCGTCACCGACGGCACCTCCTTCTGGCACTTCTTCAACACCTTCGCCGCCCTCACCAAAGGCGGCGCCGCCAAGAAAATCCTCCGCGCGCCGGACTTCACCCGCGCCACCGTCTTCAACTCCCCCGCAGTCCTCCACGTCCCCGCCTCCGGCCCCGCCCTCACCTTTGACGCCGACGAACCCCTCCGCGAACGCGTCTTCCACTTCTCCCGCGAAGCTATTCAGAAACTCAAACTTAGAGCCAACGCCAACAACAACGAACTAACGGAAGTAGTTGGAAAACAAGTAAATGACGGTTGGAAAATCGTTAACGTTAACGGTAACGGTAACGCTAACGGAAAGGTTAACGGAAGAAACGAGATCTCGTCGTTTCAGTCGTTATCGGCTCAGCTCTGGCGCGCGGTGACACGTGCGAGGAAATTCGAAAACCCGGCGAAAACGTCGACGTTTCGCATGGCGGTTAATTGCCGGCACCGTTTGGAGCCGAAGATGGACGCGTTCTACTTCGGGAACGCGATTCAGAGTATTCCAACGGTTGCGACCGTGGGCGATATTCTCTCGCGCGATCTGCGTTTCTGCGCGGAGTTGCTGCACCGGAACGTGGTGGCGCACGACGACGCTACGGTGCGGCGCGGCGTAGAGGATTGGGAGAAGGCGCCGAGGCTGTTTCCTCTAGGGAACTTCGACGGCGCGATGATCACGATGGGGAGTTCGCCGCGTTTTCCGATGTACGAGAACGACTTCGGGTGGGGGAGGCCGGTGGCGATTCGGAGCGGAAAGGCGAACAAGTTCGACGGCAAGATCTCTGCGTTTCCCGCGAGAGAGGGAAACGGCAGCGTGGATTTGGAAGTCGTTTTGGCCCCCGAGACCATGGCGGGGCTCGAAAACGACATGGAGTTTATGCAGTACGTAACGCAGGCCGTGTGAGTTCCATACTAGTCTTAGTGAAAATGAAAACTCGTCAAAATTATAAGTCGGTGATGAAACGACGGTGGATGATTGCGCTTGCGCCACAATAGTACCATGGCTCTGGGCGTCCTTTTGTCTCGGTCAAAGTCAAACGTTCGCGGTTTGGGTTGGGTTGTGTAGGGTCTGTGTTCTAAGGCTGTGTTTGGATGACCCTACATATATAATGATTTTCTGTACGTGATTTGGGGGAAGTTTTCAGTTTTCACTTTTCAGGTGACCAATAACAGGATGAAATATTATTAATAATAATAAATGATGATGATGATGATAAATTAAAATTGAAAATTAAAGGAAAAATATGTTGGAGCCAAAATAGGCTTTTGGGGTTTTCGTTTAGCTGTTATGTAAGTGTTGTTGGTGTTACTTTTTCTCTTTATATATATAAATATTTATTCATTTAAGAACTGAGTGGAGATAACGATGTGTGAATATGGTTGATTGAGGATATAGTTGTGGATAAAGAATATGAGATAAATGTGTGTGCCTTTGGAATATAATTCATAAATTAGATAATTGGATGTGAAATTAAACCTCCTGGGGCCACCAAGTGGCCAAGAATTTGAGATGCTCTGTTTTATTTAAACATGTGCCGTGACGCTTTAATTAATTGTTGCGATAATTTCCGGCATCAATCCAACATATGAGGTGTTGAAATTGCTATCATCGTTGGATATCTTCATTAAACAACAACCGCAAAAGTTAAGTAATTAGATGATTTAATGAGATCGATGACAGCTCTACTTGTATAATCTTGTAATCATGAATCGTGAACCACTACGATTGGACATGGAAATCATTTCAGATTTATGTTCCTTCGTAGTATATGATTTCATTTTCTTCTAATCAATCAATGTGAATATATATTAAGTTATTACCATAAACTGATTACATGTATGCTACAATTGCATTAGGAATTCATGTATAGTAATAAATTATACAACTGAAAATTGTATTGTATTTCTCAATTTGAATTCAGATTTACATGGTTATGGTTATGTATTTATAGACAATAAGTTCAACAAATTGATAAGAAAAGTTTCTAAATATGTGTAACAAGATAATTATACAACTAATGGTAATCATATGAATTTGTATATTAATTGTTCAATATTACAATTCTATCTTATCTCTATCATAACATATATTTTTCTATCTCATTATTCTTCCTTAAATTAAAGTATAAGTATTGTAAGCATCCAACTTATTTATTAACACTTCAAATTATTGAGTATTTAATGCTTTTGTAAGAATATCGGCTTGTCGTTCTTGAGTTGAAACATAAATGGTAATAATATTTTTTAGTTGTAAATGTCTGATAATTCAATTCAATATATTTGGTTTTTTCATGAAAGACTAGATTGGCAACCAGATGAATTACAACTTGATTATCACAATAAAAGATGGTAGGACTCTCACAAGTGACTTGCAGAGATGACAGCAGGTTGCGAAGCCAAACAATTTCACTGGTTGCATGTATCATGGCATGATATCCTACTTCATTAGAATACCTAAAAACCGTTGTTTGTTTCTTGGTTTTCCAAGACATAGGTGGTGTCCCAAACTTCATCAAATGGAGAAAAATTGATCTTCTAGTCAAAGGTCAAGCTGCCTAATCAAAACCATAATATGTAACAAGCTTCAAGTCATTGTCTTTAGGAAGGAATATCCCTTGACCCGGTGTTGATTTCAAGTAACATAACATGCATATAGCAACATCCTAATGTTTTTGTCTCACTGCTCCCATGACTCAAATGTGCAGTGAGTATGTGTTCTCAAGATGTGTTATGGTAAGGTAAATCAACTTGCCTACAAGTCTTCAATATTATGGTGGATCATGGTAATGTTCCCCTGAATCTATGGATAATTGGTGATGTTACTCCATGTGAAAGGTGTTGGGTTTACAACCCAACATGACACATTCTTGAAAAATATCAAGCACATATTTACGTGGGCACATGAGCAAATCAGAGGATCCACAAGCTAATTCTAAGCAAAGAGAATACTTGAGGGGCCCAAGATGCTTCATGTGGAAGCACTCGCTTAGATACTTCTTGAAGTGAGCACAAGTTTTCATGTCATTTACAGTTATTACCAAGTCATCTACATATATTAAGATGGTTAAGAACGTGGTCCCACATGTGTTTCAAAACTACATGTGGATTAGGCGTGGAAGTTAAATCATGTAGCGTTAAAATGAAATTGTATAGGGTAAAAAAGTATCTTAAGTTATTTAAGTGCATTTCACGAGTTCTTCCTATTAAAATTGAAGTTTAACCTTAGTAATATATGTAAATATATATTAATGAAGTTTGTATTACATGTAAATGTATATGTTCTTACCGGAGATCGGTCGTAAGGGACGATCTGCTGGGCAAGATGGATGAGCATCCTTCGCTGGGTACGTCAGCTGTTCCGAAGTGGGGGTGGTACTTGCAAAAGAGACTCCGATGCTAAAGTTAGTGTTTGTGAGTGTATGGGTTTCGTATATGTAATGCACGTACCTTAATGTGAATTAGGGTTTATTTGGGCCTTGGGCCTGAGATCAGTTGTGATTCGTTTAGATAGTGGGCCATTGTTTTGGATGATGTCTCGTAGCGCTCATCCGATGTGGTCTAGCGCTTCAGCACCGAGCTCAAGCTCGGTTCTGCAGTACGGATAGTACACTAGCCCCCGAGCTCCAAAGACCGTGAGTCGAGGAGTTAATGCCGAGCTCAGTGAAGGGTCACGACTCTTCGTTTATGCTTCTCTGGGGAAACGCCATATGTCATAAGTGTCACCTCGTTTCCCGAAACACATGGGCGGCGTGTTAATGGAGGGTGATGATTTTGTAATGATGGGTTGTACCCGTCATTATGGGCTTCATTTAATGCCCGTCATGTCTTGTCATTTTTTTGCCACATGTCACTTCCGTTTTTAATTTTGTAAAACTTTTTTCCCTCTCTTCTTCACACCCTCTCGACTTTACTTTATCCTTTCTCCCTTGGCTTCTTCTCGACGCTTCGTTCTTCTTTGCCCGCCCCTCGTCTCCGTTCTCTTTCATTGACTCCGTTTTCGGTAACCAGGTCACAATCATTCGCCATTGTCCTCATTGTCAAAGGAGCAACAGGTACTTCGCCTCCTCTGTCTTCTTCTCTGTTTTTCCCCTTTTCGAATCTTTTCCACTCTTGATGGTTGGTGAGAGTAGTGCCGCACCTCCTGCGCCAACCAAAGGCAAGGGCAAGGCGGCGGTCGACGAGGCGGTCGTCTTCGAAAAGAAGAGGGGTGGGAATAATCCTAAGGATTCTCACCCCACCATTTCTGTCCCGGGATATGAGTGGGTCAGGGGGGACTTCGGAGAGTTTGAGAGTCGGTTCAAGGCGTTTGTGGATGTCAACGCCATGTGGAAATCTCTTAAGATTTGCAATTCCAAAATTTCCAAGCTCGTCCGGGTTGAGCCTTGCCAGCCCGGTGAGCGTGTTTACATGGCGGGTACCCCTAATACCCCATTTTTCTATATGTGTAAGTGCTTCTTTAGGGACCTCGGTGTTTGCTTACCATTCACCGAGTTTGAGTGTGCTTTCCTCTGGTTTGTCAACGTGGCTCCTTGCCAATTGCACCCAATAGTTGGGGTTTTCTTAGGGTTTTTCAGGTTTTGTGCTCAGCCCTAGGAATGAGTGTCTCTCTGCCTGTCTTTTTTCATTTTTACCAACTAAAGTTGGGTGAGCCTTCCCTAGGTTGGGTGTCTCTAAATGGGAGTAAGGTTGGGGGGTTGTTCTAGCTTTACTCTCAGTCTTACAAAAATTTTAAGAAAGAGTTTTTCCGGGTCCGACCTACGATTGCTGATCCGAGGGAAGAGGTCAAGCTGTTTTTCAACGGATCAAGCTGTCTCCAATTATCGAATTCGGACAAGGAAGACATCCTCAAATTGGCCGAGCTTCCGCGTTCACTGGACAGCAAACTCGTCCTGTCTCTGGCCAATTTGACTGATAAACAAAGAGGTTTAGAGGGTGAGTATCCATTATTTTTCCCTTTGTCCCTTCTCTTTTTTTGTTGCTTCTTGCAATGTTCTGATGCGTTGTGCTGCTTTGTGTGTGCAGGTCTGATGGGGAAAAGTAAATGGCGTGAGCTAAAGGCCAAATTCAAAACGGAAGAGTTCGAGGTGCCCGAGCTTGGTGAAGAGGTGCCTGGCGAGGAGGTTGTCCCACTGGAGACTCACCGTAAGAGGAAGAGGGCGACATAGGAGGTTGGTGGGACCTCGGCTCCTTCCGCTTTCGATGAGGTGACATCGAGGGCCGCCGCCAAGGGAGCCCGCGATGGAGGTCGCTCCGGAGAGACAGGTTTTCCCTTTGCTTTGTGAAGTTCTCCTTTTGTCATGTACCTTTCTTGATTTGTTCTTAACAATTTACTTTGAATTTGAATGTTTTGTATGCGACTCCCGTGCCTTCCTCCGCTAAAGCTCGCAGGGAAGGTCCTAGGTGTTAACTCCAAATTTTGTCTTCCTGTATAAATCAAATTATATGATAAATTCCAGTCCATACATATTACAAAATATAATACAAATTAAAAGCAAAAAACAAAAAAATAAAAATAAAAAAAACAAACAACAAAACAAAATAGAAAAATAAGAAAAAAAAAACATGTTGCTCGTATCTTCCATTATCCTCCGTGAACCCCAGCAACTGCTCCCCTCAACTACTCTGCTACAATTCTCACAGAGCTACCTTACCACTGCAAATAAATCACCATGCCCTGCAAAAATCTCCAAAATTATCTCTTAACCAGATTCACAAGCCATATCCCTAAATTTAGGGATTTTGGCAAAGAAAGATTAACCAAATTCAAAAAAAAAGTGTATGCCTATAAATACCAAAACACAATATGAACAAGGGAGGATGAAAAAATTAATTAACAGAAACACAACAGAGAAACCATGTTGGCTGGGATATAATCGGAAGGAAAAACTCAAACAAGAAGCACAAGCTGGAACCTCAAAATTGTGGTATCATCTTCACCCACTATATTTTAACATTTTCTTTTGTGTATATAGTGATATTTGTGTGTGCACTTCATTTTTATTACGCAAAAGAGAGAAAAGAAAAAGAATATTAACCTCTACAATTTGTTGTACGTGGTGATTTTTAGAGGTCGCGGTGCGTTCTTCTTCTTTTTTTTTTTTCTTTTTTTCTCTTCTCCCTCTCACTCGCTCTGTCATCTCTCTGTCACGCTTCGTGAGGGTGTGGTCAAAATGCTAGAACCACCTTGAACCCCCACCATCGGAAAGATTTTCAATGGTGGTGTCTGTTTCTTGTTCTTTCCCAAACGAATCTCCACAAGAATCACCTTGGGTCACCTTTAAAAACGATTTCCAACGGTGACCCTCTTCTCCCCTTCGAGTTTTTCTCCTTCACTATCATTTTCCCTCTTTGCTTCATGCGTTTGACCAGCCACGATGATACAGTGTGCCGATCTTCTTCCGGCCAGTGTCGAGGCGTCATCTGTAGAGAGAAATCAGATAGTTTCTCTCGTAACCCTAATATAAGGGTTCCTTCTTTTTTTCTTCTCTCTGCTGCTTCTTTTTTTTTATTGTCTCTGCTGCTTCTTTTTTCTTCTATCTGCTTCTTTTGTTTTTTTTCTTAATTATTACACGTGTGGGCCAAGCCCATTTTACATGGTATTCGTTGGGTAATCAGATTTTTTTTTTGTTTTGTTCTTTTTCTTTTAACTCGCGTATGGGCCTAGCCCATTTATTCATTTTTATAAAAAAAATAAGGTTTTAGGAGTATAATTTACAATATGTTAAATTTATGTAATTGAGGCTAATAATTATATACAAAAATTAAGGCAATTGATTTTATTTGATTATTTAAAGTTATTATATGTTAGATTTTCACATAATAATGATAATAATGAGAATGATAAAAATTAGTAACTATTCCACAAAAAATATTGAGAATAATATCTTTTATATTGACATTAATAATATCTATCATTTAAAAAGGATTATAGGGATGTGACATTCCCTTAATTTTAGGGCTTAAAGGTGCAAATTGTGACAATTTGTTATCTTAAAGTTCTTCTTATTTAAATTCAAAATATAATATAAAAAGTATTATCACATCTTTTAAATAAAAATATTTGAAGATTTTATTGAAAAAATAGTTTATTAGATGTAATATCTTTTTAACATTTAAATTTAAGATACAAGTTGTGATAATTTGATATCTTTAATTTTTCTAAAAAAATAAAAATATCTAACCAAAATCTTTTTAAATATGTATCACAATATTAACAATAATAATGCCTTTTTAAATAATTAAATATCTGGCTTTGGTGTACACCTCTGTCAATTTTTATATTTTGGGATGTATGAGTTGTGACAATTCAAAAATTCTAACCTTTTTAAAAGAAAAATAATAAACAAATTAATAAAAAATTCCAACACAAATATTTTCTATCAAAGAACTACGTGACTCAGATTCTTCATTACGCATGGAGATACGTAGGAGCAGGAAATCACTCCTGTCGAGCCAAAAAAATGAAAATAAAAATATTATCTCATAATAATAATATAAATAATTTTAGTACTCATTAAAATAAAATAAAAACATTTATTAAACTATATATTTGATTGTTAATTTATATTAATGTGGGGGTGAAGTAAATATTTTAAAAGTTATAATAAATTTTCTTAATTAATTAAAGGTAATCGTCTTAAGACGAACGTTGTAAGGTGTTAATACCTTCCTTACACGTAATCGACTTCCGAACCCAAAAATCTAATTTTCATAGACCATTTTCTAATTTTTGGTTTTTCCAATATTTTTCCGTAAAAAATAACATTGGTGGCGACTCCATAGTTTTCAATCTATTTTTCGCCGTCCCATCGTGATCTCGTTTGCGACACTAGGTCAGAGGTTCCTCCAACCTCGGTTCCCACGGCCTCAGTTCCTCCAACCCCAGTTCCTCCGACATCTGCTCCTTCTACTGCTGCGCCGCCTCCTCTAAGCGTCCCAAGGGAGAAATGCATTGTGCAGCGGATGTTAATCTCCCCTTGGCGAGATTAGACCACGTGAGCGTGTCACCGGATGTGGCCTCATTGTGGAGTTCCAAGGTGACCGCCGAGGACTTTTACAGGGAGGATTCGACCTTTGTTGCTAATAGGGCGATGATCCAGAAGGTTGGTCCGGTTGAGGGCTTGGATTCTGCGGAGGTGTTTATGCAGAGGTCCATTTCCATCGTGGACCATTGGAAGCGTAAATGGTCAGATCTTCAAGGCGAGCTTGAGAATGCACGGAGCCGGGTCGGGCCCTTGGAGGATGAGAACCGGGCCTTGAAGGCCACGCTGGGGGAGGTTGCAAAGAAAGGTGAAGCTGAGCTTTAAGCTTCGAGGAGAGATCTTTCGAAGACCCAAAAGCCTTTGGAGATTGCCCTGGAGGCCAATGAGGCGTATACCGTTGAGGTTGGTAACCTACAAGAGGTTGCCAAGATCTGCAAGGTTGATGCGGAAGGTGCGTGGAATTGAGCTCTATCCTTGGAGGAGGAGAACCGGGCCTTGAAGTTTGAGTTGGGGGAGGTCGCGGAGAAGTGCCTGTGCGACGAGGTGCTCCTAGTTGGTAGGGAGGAGGAGATCGGGGCCTTGAAGATCGAGATTGATGTGCTGACCACCTCTAAGAAAGCTTTGGAGGATAAGCTCCTTGAGACCGATCGCGCTGTCGTGGTTGAGCATAGGCAGGGCTTTGCTAAGTCGGTGCGTCAGGCTAAGTTGCTTGCACCAGAGGTCAACTTCCCTGCTATGCACATAGAAAAAGATATGTGGGGTGGGCAGCTGGTGAACGAAGATGACTTGTCTGACAACACAAGTGGCAACGTTGCCTCCTAGGCCTTTTCTTCTTTTTTCCTCGTGCTTATTTTGCAATTTTTGTGTATGAACTGTCTTATTGAACTTCGCTTATTTATTCAACGTTGATTATTTTTCTCTGCATTGTTGATGTTTTTGGTTTGACTCGCATCCGTCTCAAGGTTCAAATTTGACCTTTTGTTTTATGCTAAGAATCAAATCCGACTTTAGGTTTAGTTTTAACTTGTTTTGGAGGTCCGAACTTGGTATGTATTGTGCGTTCTAAGGCTCGTGCTTGGCCTTTGAGGTTTAAAGCTTGACCTTTAGTTCTCATTGTGAGGCTCCATCTTGGCCTGTGAAGGTTCAAACTTGACGTTTTCGCCTTTCTGAGGTTCGAACTCGACCCTTAATGTAGTTTGCGCAGTGTTCTGAATGCGACCTTGATTTAAGATGAGTCGTGCCAAGGTTCGAATTCGACCTTGGCTTAATATAGATCGCACCAAGGTTCGAATTCGACCTTAGTTTAACACAATATAATGTGTGCCAAGATTCGAATTCGACCTTGGCTTAATATAGATCGCACCAAGGTTCGAATTCGACCTTGGTTTAACACAATATAATTCGTGCCAAGGTTCGAATTCGACCTTGGCTTAACACAATATAATTCGTGCCAAGGTTCGGATTCGACCTTGGCTTTATGTAGATCACACCAAGGTTCGAATTCGACCTTGGTTTATCATAATACAATTTGTGCCGAGGTTCGAATTCGACCTTAGCTTAACATGATATAACTTGTGCTCATGCAACATAAAATTGAGAAGATATGTGTGGAATGAGTCATTTTTATTGATGCTTGTGGTCGTGGGTTCGAGCCCCATGGTGGGCACCAAATGTTCTTACCGTAGATCGGTCGTAGGGGATGATCTGTTGGGCAAGATTAGTGAGCCTCCTTCGCTGGGTACGTCGGCTGTTCCGACGTGGGGGTGATACCTACAAAAGAGACTCTGATACTAAAGTTAATGTTTGTGAGTGTATGGGTCTTGTATATGTAATTCACGTACCTTAGTGTGAATTAGGGTTTATTTGGCCTTGGGCCTGAGATCGGTTGTGATCCGTTCAGATAGTGGGCCTTTGTTTTGGCCGATGTCTCGTAGCGCTCATCCGATGTGGCCTAGCGCTTCAGCGCCGAGCTCAAGCTCGGTTCTGCAGTACAGATAGTACAGTATATTATCGAGAGATAAAACTCTAATTTTAATTGAAGAACAATATTAACTGGATATAAAAAATTGTACCTAAATTTTATTTAAGTACATGACGAGTTCTATTTACCAAATATGCAAGTATCATATGTAATCATATCCTAATTAGCAAAAATTTTCATAAAATTGTATTAAGGGATTAGAAATTATTTTATTGCAATTAGAATTCCTAATTTATGTTTTAATTGAATTTGATTTCTTACGTTGATTGCCAATTTATTTTAACTAGCTTAATTTTTTTCTTAGACAATAAAACCTTTACTCTAGTTAAAGATATTAATTCCTTAGGTAAAATTAAAAAAGGGAATAAGGATTAAGATTTGAAATCCTAATGGTAGCAAGCATCAAATATAGCTATTCCTAGCCTAAAACATTGTTAGTTTTGCATTCCAAAACATATATGAGGTAATTTATAATTTATAAAATACATTTGAAATTTTCATAAGGTTATCAATTCTTAAGAATCAATAGGTTTATAGATAAAAAAAGAAGAAAAAAAAACTTTCACCAAATTATAATTTAGATGTTTGTAAGTTATAGAAAAATCCACTTAACTTCTACAAAGGAGATTTAGGTCTTGTTTGAATAAGTAACTTATTAAGATCTTATTTAATAAAAAAACTCTTATATAATAAGAACGTATATTACAAGTATTCAAAATG